GCTGACAGTTGCTTAAAGAGCTTCAGAGAAAAGTTCTACATTTTTAGTAATTTTAGAAATGAGTTAATCATTACAGTCACAACTGAAGGAAAAAGGCAAGACTTTTTCTCATTAAGGCAAAACATCTTAATGCTTTCTGAGTGAACTTAAGTGACATATCAGCAAGGTCACAGAATAAAGATACTGAAATTATAGTTGATTGATGTAATTTCCCATGTATAAAACTTTATCCATCTAATCTGTAAAACCTCAAGATCAAGACTGCCTGTTGCTTGGGCCCTGGCAAGCTTGTAAAGGCAGGATGAGTTAAAGAAATAATTGCAAACTTGTTAGCTAAGATATTTTCCTAAAAAAATCCAGAAAAATTATAAATTAAATTGTAATGGACCTTCATTGTAACAAGGATTAAGATTCATTATTTTGGTTCCTTCAAGGGAAGCATTTTATAAATGTTTTGTACTTTTATCCTTATGTGACAAGATGTGGATGAACAATTCATGGCCTCTCCTCCCCACTATACCTTGGTTAATTATCTCCTGTCCTCTCCAACTTCTTCTAAAGCTCATCTCTCTGTTCTAGGTTGACTTCTAGCCAGGGTTAATTTTAAAAATATGAGGTCTATTATTTTCTATTTTTATAAGAGGTGAGTGAAATTCCATTTATACTTCTTCTGAGGGGCCATGGTTTAGTGCTAGTAAGATGTTATTAGAAATAAGTAAATAAGTTCAATGAGATATTTTTATGTTTAATATGTTAACCTTAGAGATGTGAACAAAGGGGAAGAAGCCTTTCCATTCTGTTGTTTTATTTATTCCATTCATTCATTTATTCCACAAATATTGAATAGACATCCACTCAGAGGACATTTATGGAGGTGTTCATCATGTCCTAGGAAAGGTACCTCGTTCTAGGGATACAAATATAATTGATTTCTAGGTTTTGCCTTCAAACGTACAACTTTGTAGCCAAATTGTTCATTCATTTATTAGTACTCTACATATATTTCATGAATGCCTTCTCTGTGCCCAGCATTGTTGTAGACACTGGACACAGGATGTGCCCTGTAGTAGACACTGGACACAGACACAGGGTGTGCCCTGGGGCAGTTTATATTCAAGTGGTAGACCTGAAAACAAGTGTAGAAGGTTAGGATGGTGCTTCCTAAAGTGCTCTGATGACTACAGGGAGTGTACAAAATTATTTATGAGAGGTTCAGGAAGAAAATATTTTGATTTTTATTTATCTTAATCTCATCTTGCTTTATTTATATTTTTGTATATATTTGGTAATATACCTAATCTGGATAGTAGTACTTGTACACCATTTATACATAAATAAATATTTAAATTCATTAATTTCATACTTGATAAACATTTGCAGACCCCAGGATGAAAGCTGGATTTATTTGCTTATTTATTATTTAAATATTTTATTTATTTATTCATGAGACACAGAGAGGCAGAGACACAGGCAGAGGGAGAAGCAGGCTCCATGCAGGGACCCCAACGTGGGACTTGATCCTTGGTCTCCAGGATCACGCCCTGGGCTGAAGGCAGCGCTAAACCGTTTTTTTTTTTTTTTTTAAGATTTTATTTATTTATTCGTGAGAGACAGAGAGAGAGATAGGAAAGCATGGATTTAGAATTAGACGGACTTATGAGTTTGAAGTCAGTTTCCATCACTTACTACACGTGGGTCCTTGGGCTAGCCAGAGCTCTACATCCTTACAGAGATGTTGTAAGGGTAGGCTGCAATAATGTTAGTAAAGTGCTTATATTGTGTCTGTTTATATCAAATCCTCAAAAAAATGATGGCTAATGTTACTATTGTTATTATTTATGTGATCAATATTAAAATACAGGCATTTTCAAAGTGATAAAGAGAATTTTGAGAAGGGACTGGTTAAGCTGTGACCCTAGTGCCATGAAACTGTTATAATAAATTATTGCTGGGAATGTAAATCGGTTCTACTTTTTATACACTTATATACCAGAATCCTTAAAATTTTTATTTGCCTTAACCCGGTTGTTTCCCTTCCAGAAATTTATCTTAAGGAAACAATCAGAATTCTAATAGATTTATAATAGTGACTGATAGGAAAAAAGTAACTAAATGTCCAAATATAGGAGGATAGCAGTTTAAATTACAACTTTATGATGGAATATTGTACAGCTTTAAATATTTTTAAAGAATACTTGGGGAAATAGTAATATTTAGTGAAGAAGATAGGATATAAAATTATAGTGTAATCCCAATTATGCTTTTTTTAAACATATAATTTAAAAAACCCCACACAACTTAATTAAATGGTATTGGGAAAACTGGACAGCTACATGGAAAAGAATGAAGCTGGACTACTTTCTTACAGTATACACAAAAATCCCAAATGTATAAAATACCTAACTATGAGGCTTGAATTCATGAAACTCCTAAAAGAAAACATAGGTAGTAATCTCTTGGACATTGGTGTTAGCTACATATTTATGAATGTCTCTGCAGGCAAGAGAAACAAAAGCAAAAATAAACTTTTGGAACTACACCAAATAAATTCCTGCACAGTGAAGGAAGCTATTAACAAAACAAAAAAGCAAGCTACTGAATGGGGGAAGATATTTGCAAATGCCGTATTCAATGAAATGTCAGTATCCTAAATATATAAAGAACTTATGCAACTCAACACAAAAAAAACGAATAATCTAGAAAATGGAGAGAAGACATAACAGACATTTCTCCAAAGAAGAGATCCAGATGGCTAACAGACATGTGAAAAGATACTCAACGTCACTCATCATCAGGGAAATGCAAATCAAAACTACAATAAGATTTCCTCACACTGTCAGAATGGTTTAAATAAAAAATATAAGAAACAACTAGTGTTGGCAAGGATGTGGAGAAAAGGAAATTCTCTTGCACTGTTGGTGGAAATGTAAATTGGTACAGCCACTGTGGGAGCAGTACGGAGGTTCCTCAAAAAAGAAAAAATAGAACTATCCTGTGATCCAGTAATTGTACTACTGAGTATTTATAAAAACACTAATTCAAAAGGATATATGTACTCCTATGTCTATTGCAGCATTATTTACATAGCTAAATTGTAGAAGCAGCCCAAGTGTCCACTGAAAAAAATTGAGTCTTTTCATTGGGTGGGGAGGAGCTGCAGTTAGAAAAACTGAGATGCCAAACCTTTGGGAGATTTGTTTCACATGCTAATTCTGGTGTAATTCATATATATATATATCATCCTGATGTAATTCTAAAAAATCCCCGTATATTGTGTGTGTGTGTGTGTGTTTGTATAAAACACATTATATATATAGGATATGTATTTAAGATGTATATATGTATAAGATATATATATATACACACACACATAACTAATATTCACTGAGCCAGAAACTAATTCCATTCACTCTTTTTTTTTTAAAGATTTTATTTATTTATTTGAGAGAGAGAGAGTGCATGAGTCAAGGGGAGGGGCAGAAGGAGAGGGAGAAGCAGACTCCCAGCTAAGCCAGGAGCCCAACACAAGGCTTTATTCCAGGTCTCTGAGATCATGACCTGAGCCAAAAGCAGATGCTCAACCATTGAGCCACCCAGATGCCCCAGAAAAAAATATTTTTAAAGACTTATTTATTTATTTTGGGGGGGATGGGGTTTGGTAAGGGCAGAGAGAGAGGGAAAAGCAGACTCCCCGCTGAGCGCAGAGCCCCACGTGACCCTGAGATCATGACCTGAGCCAAAATCAGGAGTTGGACATTTAACTGACTGAGTGACCTAGGCACTCACCCAAAATACTTTTTTTTAATGGTCTGAAGGATACTCAATGAACTTATCAAATAATTACCTCTGGACTGGAAGAAGAGAGTCAAGATTAGAGATCATAGGGGATCCCTGGGTGGTGCAGCGGTTTAGCACCTGCCTTTGGCCCAGGGCGTGATCCTGGAGACCAGGAATCGAGTCCCACGTCGGGGGCGGGGGGGGGGGCTCTCTGCATTGAGCCTGCTTCTCCCTCTGCCTGTGTCTCTGCCTCTCTCTCTCTGTGTCTATCATGAATAAATAAATAAAATCTTAAAAAAAAAGATTAGAGATCATGGAGAAAAGAAATTATAGCTCCATTTGTGATATTCCAATTCTTAAAAGAAAAGTGACTCTAATTTTAATATTAAAATTAGTTTCTTAATTAAGTCAAAGACAACTGAAAGTATGCTTAAAGAGTCTAGTTTACTAGGTTCTCAATTTTCACATCCCAATCTCCAGCCTTAAGAAACCGAATATTATGTTTGTGCATTCCTTCCTGGCTGCAGAGGCAACAGGAAACCCCAAACTTGAACCTCAGTGTGCACAAAGAAGGCAGAGGCAGGAAGCAGAATCACTGAGTTCCCAGCAATACTTGGAATGTGTTTGTTATGCAAGTACATCGTTTTGACTACATTTGGGACAGGAAGTTCACCATGAAAATAAGTGGAATATAAAAAATGGTATAGCCTAAGTAGTAAGTGTCTTTAAGGATTAAAACAAGAATTCAGTGATTTCTAATATTTTCATTAACTGTAAAAACATCTTCAACTAACAAAGGACAAGCTGGAGAGAGAATGTGACCTACATAGCTTGTGTGTTGCCGCTAGATCCCTGCTTTCTCTTCCAAGGTGACTGGCCCTTACCTCGGCCCAAAGAAAACTCAATAAAAATTCTGCTGCTTTAAAAAAAAAATGCTGCTGCTTCATTACTTCTAGTGGCATTGTTCTGTGAGAAGGAAGCCATGACGTCCAGTTTACACATTCCTGATAGCAACACAGCCTCCACAGAGGCCTGCTTTGTTAAAAAAAAAAAAAAAAAAAAAAGATGGCAGGGAAATGTTATCAATATATATAATCCCCACAGGTTTCACTTTAGAAAGAAATCAAATCATGTTTCACCTTCCTGTAAGCATCTCTGCAGGGAAACAAAGCCAGATCCACAATTAAGTTTTTAGAATTAATTTTTCTCTCTTTTCTGTCCAGGAAAGATTGGATTAATGGCTGATTTCAAATCCTAAACCTCCATGCTGAGCAACTTTCGTGGCTTGTCAAGCAGAGGCTAAGGATGTCCTCGGCACGCTGTGTAGCACAGACTAAAGTGAGTAGACTCCCATTTGGGAAGCCCTTTCTTCTGAAACATAGAGCCCTTGATCTCCTTTATAACTGGAGCTCCTCCTGGGAGCGTTTCTCCCCAGGACCTTATCACACCCTCAGTGCAGGCCTGACCTGAGCACAGCAGGAGGTTGCTGGGCAAGGCAGAAGAAGGAGGGATCAAAGCCAAGGAAAAAAGTCCCCTAGTGGGCAGTGTATTCACCTAACTAGCAATCCTGTCCCTCCTTTCATATTTGCAATTTAAAATTAGTCTCCCTAACCCATTTTCCCTCTAATTTTCCACAGAACCTGACCAATCTGACCACACTGCTGTCTTTCAGTTATTCTCCATAGCAACCAAGGCTTCTCCTTCACAGCACTTAACACAATGGCAAATAATAAATTATATGTGTAATTATGTATTTAATGACTCCCTCCCTCAGAAGATTGCGAAGTTCACGGAGTCGTCCCTAGCGCTACTTGGGACCTCACAATGAAAATGCTCAACAATTATTTGTAGAATAAGTGAATGAATGGATGGGTAGATGACCACTCCTTTTTACCAGTACCCCAGTCCTCCCATTTGATTCATCCTACAACCTCATCTCATTCTCCTCCGCTGTACCAAATTCCATCAGCCTGTGCAGTTGATTGACCTCTTTGGAACCCCCTGCCCCAGCAGTGGGCTGGTTTAGGAAGCCCGCAGATTCTAACACTGTGCCCCATTTCACCCTGTCCCTCTCCAGTGGCATTAACAAACCAAATTTGCCTTCCTTTTAACTCTGCAGGTGTTCTGAAACATCCTCCCCAGTAACCGAATAGCTTCTATACCATGGCAGGATTATAAACTAAAAGCAAGTCCCCACCCTGCTAGCCTTTCCCATAATCTTTGCAGATTACCGAAGGTCTCACTCTCAGAGAGTAACTTCTGACTTCCATCCAAAGTTTCAGATTTATTTCTCATCCAATGTCAAAAAAAAGAGGAGACAGTAAATGGCAATAAAGAAATATTAAAAAATATTAAAAGAGGGAAAGCATGAGAGGATGTGAAAGAGTATCACGCATATGCCACTGGTGCTGTGCATTTATGCAAGGTACGCCACCGTTTGACTTGGCTCTTCCAAGCAGATCAGCAGGAGTCACACAATCCACTAAGACCACAAGGTGGAGCAGACAAGTTGCTCAGTAACAGCATACCTGTTCACTACAGGAAATCTTGACAAATTTCAAAACCCATGAAACAGTTCAGTGGCCTAATGTAAACCATTGTTCACTTTTATAGCACTTTTATAAAAGCACTTTTATAGCAGAGTCAAAGCAATGGGGTCCAAATAGACATCCCTCTGAGGTTCTTGGCTTTTCAAGGATAATTCTGAAGTAGAGCCTAGGATGCATGAGTGCACATTCTTCAGCCAATTCTCTAAATACCACTTGACAACATTAATTTGGTTAATATCAGAAACATATTTCTGAACCTCTTGTCTGAGTATGAAGGCTGCATTCCTCATCATTTGGATCCGGCTTCCTGCTGACAAACAGGGAAGTATATCCTGTCACTTGAGGGTAGAGGGCTCATCTGTCTAAATTCAACTTATGGCATATATTCTAAACTGATGTAATGATTGTAAGGCATTTCAACATTAGGCTTGAAAATGTCCTTGCCAAAGCTTCATCCAAAAATAAATGTAGGCTGATGCAATCACCTCCTGGCTGTTCTCCCTTTCTTCCATCTCCCTTTGCACTGATCTAATCTTTTCAACACCACAGAGGTGATACAATGACATGCAGACTTGATTAGGTCCCTCCTCTGGTGGACAAGTGCTGTCCACTTTAGACAAGGTGAAGAATACAAAGGCTCCTTGGATCAGCCAAATCACGTTACCAGCGTCTAATATCTAGCCAAACCTTCAGTCACTTGGGAGATTAGATTTGTCTAAGCTTGCCATGTATCTTTAAGTATAACTGTTTCTTGTCCATGGTGCCTTCTGCCCTCCTTCCCAGGCTCCTTTTCTACTTGACCAGAGTTGGAATTAGCTTTCCTGCATAGTTTTCATGGGACACCCAGGAAGAAATTTTTATTCCAATTGCCACTTCAGCCTTCATCCTCATCTCATTTTATCTATTTTGGTTAATAATTCTCTGTGCAATTAAAAAGTCACCCCCATTACTACCAATCAAAAAACGTTACCAATATATTTTGGTACATTTCTTTATAGTACTGTTCCTATACATATATATATTGTGTGCTTTTAAAAAATTATTATTGAAGTGTAGTTGACACACAATGTTAGAATAGTTTCAAATATACAGCACAATTATTTGACAATTCTATAATTTCTCAAATGTTCACCACAGTAAGAGTGGTTACCATCTATCACATGCAATGTTGTTACAAAATTATTGACTATATTCGCTGTGCTGTACTTTTCATCTTCATTTATTTTATAACTGGAGATTTGTACTTCTTAATCTCTTTTACCTATTTCATCTATCCCTCCACCCACCGCCCCTCTGGCAACAATCAGTTTGTTCTCTGTATTTAAGAGTCTGGTTTTTGATTGTTTGCTTGTTTGTTTTGTTTTTTAGATTCCACATATAAGTGAAATCATATGGTATTTGTCTATCTCTGTCTGACTTCTATCACTGAGCATCACACCCTCTAAGTCCATGCATGTGGTTGCAAATGACAAAAATCTCATTCTTTTTTGTGGCTGAATAATATTCCTTTACACACTCCACATCTTTATCCATTCATCTGTTGATGGATGTTTGAGTTGCTTCCTTATCTTGGCTGTTGTAAATAATGCTGTAATAAACATAGGTGGTGTGTATATCTTTTAAAATTAGTGTTTTCATTTTCTTTGCAAATATTGAACCACCCTTGCTTCCCAGAAATAAATCCCACTTGATCATAGTGAATGATTTTTTAAATGTATTGTTGGATTTGGTTTGCTAATATTTTTTTTATAAAATATTTTATTTATCCATTTGAGAGAGAGAGAAGCATGGGCAGGGGTAGAGGCAGAGGGAGAGGGAGGAACAGACTCCTCACTGAGCAGGGAGCCTGATGGAGCTTGATTCCAGGACCCTGGGATTGTGATCTGAGCTGAAGGCAGATGCTCAACTGACTAAGCCACCCAGGTACCCCTGGTTGCTAATTTTTGTTGAGGATTTTTACATTTATGTCCATCAGAGATATTGACCTGTAGTTCTCTCTCTCTCTCTGTCTCTGTCTCTGTCTCTAGTCTATTTATTTGGTTTTGGTATCAGTATAATGCTGGCCTGTAGAATGAATTTGGAAGTTTTCCTTGTTCTTCTATTTTTTGGAATAGTTTAAGAACAGGTATTAGCTCTTCTTTAAATGTTAAATAGAATTCACCTGTGAAGCCATCTGGTTCTGGACTTTTGTTTGCTGGGAGTTTTTTGATTAATGATTCAATTTCACTGCTGGTAATTGGTCTGTTCAAAATTTTCATTTCTTCCTGATTCAATTTTGGGAGGTTATATGTTTTTAAGAATTTATCCATTTTCTCTAGGTTGTCCAATTTATCGGCACTTCATTTTCCTAATATTCTCTTATAATCCTTTGTATTTCTGTGGTGTTGGTTGTTATTTCTCCTTTCATTTCTGATTTTGAGTCCTCTCTCTCTCTCTCTCTCTCTTTGATGACTCTGGCTAAAGTTTTATCAATTGTTAGTCTTTTCAAAGAACCAGTACCCAGTTTCATTGATCTATTCTTCTTTTTTTAAAAAATTTCTATTTCATTTATTTGTGCTTTAACCTTATCATTTCCTTCCTTCTACTGGTTTTGTTTGTTCTTTTTCTAGCTCCTTTAGGTATAAGGTTAGATTGTTCATTTGTGATTTTTTTGCTTCTTGAGGATAGCCTGTATTGCTATCAACTTCCCACCTGGAACAGCTTTTACTGCATCCCAAAGGTTTTGGACTGTTGTGTTTTCATTTTCATTTGTCTTGATGTATTTTTTTAATTTACTTTTTTGATATCTTGGGTGACCCATTCATTGTTTAGAAGCATGTTCTTTAACCTCCATGTATTTATATTCTTAACAGATTTTTTTCTTGTGGTTGATTTCTATTTTCATAGCATTGTGGTCAGAAAAGATAACTTTTCTATGACATTAACTTCAGTCTTTCTGAATTTGTTGAGACTTGTTCTGTGGCCTAATATATGATCTATTCCGGAGAATGTTCCATGTGCACTTGAAAAGAATATGTTTCCTGATATTTTAGGATGGAATGTTCTGAATGTATCTGGTAGATCCATCTGGTCCAATGTGTCATTCAAATCCATTGCTTCCTTGTTGATTTTCTGTTTCGATGATCTATCCGTTGATGGAAGTGGGGTGTTAGAGTCCCCTACTATGATTGTATTACTATAGATTACTTCTGTTATATTTATTAACTGTTTTGTATATTTGGGTGCTCCCATGTTGGGTACATAAATATTTACAATTGATATATCTTCTTGTTGGATTATTCTCCTTATGATTATATAATGTCCTTCTTTATCTCTTGTTACAGTCTTTTTTGTTTGTTTGTTTGTTTATTTATTTGACAGGGAGAGAGAGTGTACCCAAGGGGGGGGAGGGGCAGAGGGAGAGGCAGAAGTAGGCTCCCAGCAGAGCAGGGAGCCTGCTGTGGGACTTGATCCCCGGATCCTGAGATCATGACCTGAGCTGAATGCAGATGCTTAACCGACTGAGTCACCAGGTACCCACAGCCTTTGTTTTAAAGTCTATTTTGTCTGATATAATTATTGCTACCCAGCTTTCTTTTTGCTTCCATTTGCATGATAAGTGGTCTTCCATCCTTTTGCTTTCAGGTCTGAGATGAGTCTCTTGTAGACAAGATATAGTTGGGTCCTGTTTTTTTAATCCCTTTCATCACCCTATGTCTTTTGATTGGAGTGTTCAGTCCATTTACATTCAAAGTAATTATTGATAAGTATGTACATATTGCCATTTTGTTACTTGTTTTATGGTTGTTT